TCCACTGAGGTAGACTCCAACAACGAAGCACCCAACCGGGGACTTGTGAGTATCCCCACACCCGCCCGGTGCCTCACACCTTGAGCAACTCCGGAGAAGAATAGAGTCCAACCCCTATCCAGAAGTAAGGTTCCAGAGCCGACGCTGTGCCATTTTCGTTCCTACCCTCACCTATGGTCATGAAGGATGGGTCATGACCGAAAGAACGAGATCGCGGGTACAAGCGGCCAAGATGGGTTTTCTCCGCAGGGTGGCTGGTGTCTCCCTTAGGGATAAGGTGAGAAGTTCGGTCATCCGGAGGGACTCGGTGTTGACCGCTCCTCCTTTTCGCGTCGAAAGGAAGACAGTTGAGGTGGTTCGGCACCTAGTTAGGATGCCACCTGGGCGGCCTCGCCTAGGGAGTGTTGTTCCAGGCATGTTCAGCTGGTAGAAGGACAAGGGGTAGGACCTAGGACCAGATGGAGGGATTATATCTCTTCGCTGGCCTGGGAGCGCCTTGGGATCCCCCAGTCAGAGCTGGTTGATGTGGCCAGGGAAAAGAAAGTTTGGGGCTCTCTGCTGGAACTGCTACCTCCGCGACCCGACCACGGATAAGCGGGAGAAGATGGATGGATGGATGTATTAATGTGGACCGGAGGGAGAGGGTGACGAGCATAAATTTAACTTTCCTTTTTTATTTCAATTACAACTTTGGTCATGAAGAATATGTTTCTCTGTTGTCCACGTTCATAAAGCATAAAACAACAGCATCAGAGCACGGTGCAGCTGTAGTTTCCATAGTTTCCCCACATCAGCAGACGCACACAATGACGGTTGCTGGCGCATCATAAACACGTCAGATAGTGAAAGTGCATTCGGATTCTCTAAAATACCGCAGTCTCTTCTCCTAAATCCTTTTGAATTCTCCTATCCACTATCCCTTAACCCCGTGATGTTTCATTCAGAGGTCAAGGAATAGGAGATAGGGTTAGAATTTAGGAGCTGATTTTTGGATTATCGCAACGCAACCCTGGTCTGCCCCTGGCTCCGCCTCTGCCCAGGTGTTCCAAATTCTACTCAGCCGTGTGTATATATAAAGAGAAGCTGGAGGAGAAGGATGTCTCGCCTATCCTAACGCCGGAGACACTGTCATTAGAATACCTCTTTGCCATTTTGAGCTGTAGGTCATATTTTTGCAGATGTGTTTATATTTAGCCTGGAGGACCTGGTAGTCCAGTTTTCGCGGCTTTATTTTTTTTCCACATAGGGTTTATATTTGATTTCTGGTTGGGGGGAGCTCTGGGTCCTACGGTCTGTGGTGTGGCTGGCTCGGGTTCCCTCTTTCTATTTGTTCCTTTTGGCCGTCCTCCAGACCTCTTTCCCATTTCGCTTGTGTGAGCAAACGGCTGATTATCAATAAATGCTCGTTACAACTACCGCGGAGTAGGCTAGAGGTTGGGGCCGTAACAACATTTCCAAGACACTGTGAAATGTACTTTGCACTTCAATGGAGTAATAAAAATGGGCATTTTCTTTGTTTTTCTTTGTTGATTGAGCTGATTGAATTGTGTAGTTATGGTACAATCCCAGTCAAATTTACAATATGATCGTATTATTTAGATTTGTATATTTACAGTAAATGACTGGCTACTGTGTTACATTACTTCTACAGTAATAGTGTGAACATACAGGTAATTACTGTAATTTATGTGCAGCAAGGTACCATAATACCACAGCTCTGTACTGCTATATCACAGTAAATCCATGGGCATGGCAACTGTAAAGTCACAGTATTTACTTGTTTATTCTAATTTACTGTAAAATATATACAGTAAATTACTGTGAAATATTTACAGTCAATTACTGTGAAATCCATGCAACTAGTAGCCAGTAATTTACTGTAATTTTACAGCCAAACATTTTACAGTGCACTTTCATAGAAACCTGGGACACGCAGTACATGTTCAGTGTCTATTCTTTGTATATTTACTGCAGTTTTTCATGTATACCAGTAGTCTGATACAATATTTACAGTTTGAAAGGGTGTTAAATGAAATTTGGTGATGATTAATGGTTTTTGTGTTGATGTAATAGCAGTTAAAACAGGACCGGTCAAATCTGACCGCGAACACCAAAGTAAGGGGGGGAAACAAAGGCAATAGGAGGGTTAATAGTGCTGCTCTGTTTCTCAATATTGTAATTGTACGTGTGTTAAATGTGTCTTCTCAGTATAGCAGACCCCATTATGCATGTCAGCCCTCTCTTTTACTTATCCTGACCCGTGCTAGCTGTTTTCCCCTGCTCTCATTCTTTATACCAAGTTACGCTATCCAGGTCCTTCATACTGCTCTTTGCTAACTAAGCCCCCAGATATACTGTATACTGGTACAGCAATTTTTTTATCTCACTGTGTTTACCTTAGAACTCCTGATAAATCATTGAAATTAAGATGTTAGTTTATCATGAGTTAAAGCAATATATTTAGGTTTTCTGGTACATTTTACACCCATTTATGAAATATTCCTCTTACATTTCAAGAGTTTCAGCTTTATTAAACATTGTATCATCATCTACGCTAAGAATTAACCTTCTATCTTCCTTTTGTCAAAAATCTATTGTATGTGCGGCTCGTTGTCCACCTTTGAGAGGCTGTATGTAATGAGGAGCTGGCATCGGACATTTTAAAAGCTACATGTACTCAAACACTGTTAACACATTGAGAAGCAGTTGGATGATGAGAAACTGGATACTCTTTGTCAAAACATTATATTCGTGCTAAGTCCACCCTGGAGTGGTGTCGCTGCACTGTGGTCTCCCCCTTCAGTGTTGGAGTTAGAGGATGTTAGGGGTTACAATAAAGCACGCTGCAGTGTCTTTCTCTCTACTGAAGATAGTTTGGCATTGTAGAAAAACAGATCACTGAAACCATGATCAATTATCTCTGCCTCCTCTGATGACCTCGATGAATTCAGCCATCTGATATCAATGAGGTTGGATCGATACATGTGTTTGCACTAGTTGATGAACGTTATTGAATTTGTTTGCCTGCTGTTAATCCTCTCAGGAAACCGGACCTCCCCCTACTATCCAAACTAAAGACATGATGTACGTGGATTAAATAATACGATCATAACTCTCTGGCCCAGAGGTTGGTGACAAAGGGTGGATTTTTATTCAAATACATACAAAAATAGTGAAAATGAATTAAGGAATTAGTACAATTCCAAGCAAAATACATGTAGAGGTTATCAAAAGTCTGGAAAACTCTTGTTTGTCTGCAGCAGGACATGTATTTATTGCTTATTTCATTATTTTATTCAACTTCTTGCGGGGATGGTTAGTCCTGAGCTTTCTTTTTGGTCCACCTCTGAGTTTATTTGTTGTTTTATTTTGAAAAGTTTTTGCGCCTGTTTTTACTTCCTGTCTGTGTGTTTTCCCACCCATTGTATTTCCTTATTGGTTCCACCTGTTCATTGTTAGCCCTGCAATGAACCTGCTCTCCTGTACACCTGCACTTATCCCCTCATTAGTTCTGCTCGTGTTTCAATTTTTTCTTTTTTTTTTCTCATTGTCGTGTTCAGGAATGTATTTTTCACTCTGACTGCCCTCACCATCTCATGAGATACATTTTGATGAGTAAACATACTGTTCATAACTTGACAAGTGACCATTTATTTGGTGTATATTGAAGAGATTTAACATGGTGGCTTTGGTACAAAAACAGAACATTAGGATCAAATCAAAAATGATTAGAAATCTGAAGGTCCATCACCAGTGTGATATCATTCCCAGCAACAACATCTGTATCTTTTTACAAAGGGTGAAGGAGGAACCATCAAAAATGCACAGCAGAGATAAGCCAACGATTGTAAAGACTAAACTCCAAGGTAAGGTCTTTAAATGTCTGGTTTTGTCAGTCCAAAAATAGTCACTTAAATCTGATATAAAACAGAGGAAAGCAGCAAATCTCAATATTTGAGAGGCTGAAAACAGCATTTTCTGCGATTTTGCACACACTCCAGAATTTGGCTTTTCTTTTAAAATCATTTTGTGAAATTCTCACTGAAGAGACTTGCAATTACTTGCCCTAGACTTCTGCTTTCAGACGTAGTTAATTATGAAGTTATTACCCACATCCGATAATAATCCAATGCAGAGGCAATCATGTAATATAATGCATTATTTTATATATATTAAATATGTATATATGTATTTTGATATAGTCTTAAAGTTACAACCGGCCCTTTGAGTGCAACCATAATTCCTACGTGGCCCGTGATGACATTGAGTTTGACACCACTGCATTAAGCTATTGAACTTTAGGGACCATAGATTGTACACTACCCCTTATGGTGCATTGTAGGATCACTTGAGTCCCACATGGGTATAACAAATCTCACCATTCTGTTGACTACATATAGTGAACCGGAAATGAGTGTGGATACAGCTTTTGGATATTTAACATTGAAAAACTACAAATCCCATGAAGCTTTGATACTTCTGTAGCTAAGACCTAACAATATGTTTATTAAAGGCTAACCTAATATCTCTGTGAGATTGACAAGGTTCTCAAAGTGTAGGTGATGTAATGAATTAGATAGATATTTATTTATGGACTTAAAAATATCATGGTATTATGAAAATACGTTAAGCATTATAAGCAAGTGAAACAAGCTAATCCCAGGCGTGTTTATGGCTCTATTCAAATGATTATTTGATTATTAAAAGTGAGCTATAATAATTGAATAGCACACAGCGGTGCTATAAATAGTATTAAATACACATATTCATAAAATGCTTTCATGCAGTGTAGAACTATTGACACATTAATAACATATTTACAATAATCCAACACCAGAAGTTCAATTTTATGTGTGGTTGTTAACAATATTCACAAATAGAAGCACAAGAATAGATCCTATAATTAAACTCACATGTGCAGAATATGTTAAATATAAGTGAAGATGGTTTCATTGGTGCCGCTGCAGTCACATTCATGGAGTTTGTGTGTGTGAACACGTGGAGATGATATTTGCACCGTCAGCCCGTCACTCTGCAGCTGTGATTGGCTCCAGCAGAGAGGATTCCCAGTGAAAGGCCGCCATTGCAAAAAGTCTTTGTTCTGCTTTATCCCCTCGCTTTGACTTCCAAATGAAGCTCTAAACTTCTGACACCCAGTGGCTCATGGGAAAGAACGGTCAACGGAAGCTGTTTTCCATCAGTGGGAATGAGGCAGCGTTCGCCACATGTCTGGGCTGAAGGTTCCTCTTAGAAACAGCTTAGGGAACCATGGAGAACAGCATAAATACAGCCAACAGGTGCAAATTAAAAGACATGAACTTAAGTTATTTTGAAGGGGTATTGGGGATCTTCACCACTGGGACGTCCTCTGCAGACCATTTCCCTGCAGATGAAGAAGAGAGAACGGTTGTTAATCAAACAGCACATTATTGGATGCAGATGACAGCGCCACTGAAAACCAGTGTACAGTGTTATATGGTTAGCTCTGAAAAGCTTGAGTACAGCAGCTTGGAGTCAAACAGTTGTGACCAATGATGTGTCTGAAATCAAAGTGGCTTTTTTGGGTTTCTAAATAATTTGCACACAAATAATCACCTTATTTAGCAAAACATTTAGTTTCCATTGTATCAACACTAGCTGTCAAACAATCCATTGTTCTGAATACATGTATTTATTCAAAGATCAATGATCCGATATCATTGATTCAAAGTGAAAACAACAAAAACTTTTATTTTGAAATAATGAAAGGAATGTATTCTTTCTGCCTAAACACAGTGCAATCCAACAGACTTCTGTTATAAATTGTCTTTTTGTTTAAGTATATTTTGTGGATAGTAACCTAATTTTGATAAATGGGCACATTTTGTGATCTAAAAAATCCCCTTAAAATTATATATTTTTAAGAAATATTGAGTAAATACAAATATAGTATACATGGAATGGTGATTGGGTTATTAAGACACAGAATGAGTTTGGTGAAAAAGAAAAATCCATTTGACTAATTCTTAAGGAAAGATTTGGCTAAATATGTCTGTCACTGTAATTGTAATAAATCTGGCTCACATTGAAATCTGCTTAAAATTGACTACAGCTTCTGTCCTCCGGAAATAAGAAAACCATACTCTTCAGAGCCACCTTAAAGCATGAAGTTGAGGGTTTAAAACTCAAAATGTAACTTTTCAGGTTAAAAAACAAATAACAGACTTAAAAAAGGAAATGGTCTGAACAGAGAGATACAAACACTGCAATATGACCTACAAATGCAATCCTTTTCACCAACATTTTTCTTGCATTGCAGTCAGAAAACAGATGGAAAAGTACATGGAGTCCAAGTAGCATATTAAGCAGATAAGGTAAAAGAGAAGAGGCCTTAAAATAGTGAGCTCCACAAGGTAAGAAAAAAGAAACCCCAGACAAAGAGGTGATTCATAGTGAACCTGTAGGAGAAGTTGCTATGGATACTGAGAGGTGGACATGCACAGAAGCAAGGGAACAGAAAGCATCTGGAGGTAAGCGAGTTGATAAGGAGAAACAAAGAGAGGCGTGGGGGGGTTCAGGGTACCACGTACGCTGTGTCCGTTTGTGTGTGCGGTGCTGCTGCTGTCAGTGCGGGTCGAGGGGGTGCTGCTCCCGCTGTTGGCTGCTGAGCTGGCTGAGGCTCTGGGGATGATCATGTCATAGGACACATCCGGAGGGTGCTGCACAACAAGGGCCAGTACACAAACATTCAGAGACCAGGATGGGAAAGAACATTTTTTGGAAAGACCTCCACGAAAATAGTGTACTGAGTCAGTTTGGATGTTTGGTTGTATGAGAAAATGTATTCATATTCAATGTATTAACTACAGTAGATGAAGGTTGACACGCCCCCAGTTTAGAAATCAGACAGAAACAAAGTGATGCACAGCTTTTGACATAGGCACAAGCGACACAAATGATGACGTACAGGCTATATTGATAACATTTGACTGCTTTACCGTGATGACAGACAGTCAAACTGAAGCCGTTTCATCCATCTTTACTCTCACCATTGCCACCAGGGTCCGTTGAATGTAAGGGATCATTTAACCATGCAGAGCAAAGGAGCAGCCAGTCTACCACTGCCTCAATACGTTAGATTGTTTGGTTGCTTTGGTGAATCCGAACTGACCAAAATCATACAAAAACACAAACAATACTATCGATTGAGTCAGCGTAAGACCCCAACGTCCATGTTCTGCAAAGATAACTGTTGTCTATTACCAGTGTTGGGACTAACGCGTTACAAACTAACGCGTTACTGTAACGCAACTACCTTTTGCGGTAACTAATAACGTTACTAGTTACCTATTCCCATTAAGTAACGCCGTTATAGTTACTGTGATTTAAATGGGTGCGTTACTGCGTTACATTATGTGATGGAACTGAACCGAATCTCCCTGCGGATTTAACTT